ATTATGGCACAAGTAAAGAAAAATAATTGTTGCAGACATTATACTGTGATGTTTCAAAATGATGTGTTGACCAAATTAAGAAATGGTGTTTATACGAGAAAAGGAACATATGCTTTCACTTTGAATGTCAGAAATATATTTAAAATATTTATGTAGTTAATACAAAATTATTTTAAGATGAATTTGATAGTGATATATGGCATACATGCACATACTCAGCAATGTGACATTATTCTACTGACTTTTTTTTTTCTATCCCTAGATTAATGAGTTGAACTTAACCGTTTTCATTGAAAAGCTATGGTGGTTTTGAGGTCAAGGGAACATTATGGTGTCTCTATATTTCTTAGTACTTGTTCACTTTTAGTCCCCACATTCAATGAATCACAAAATTATAAAAAAGTTCATGAAAGAATATTTCGGTTTTTTCCCTGCTATACCCTCTTTTGAAAAAAAAAAATTCCATAATACCCTATTTTTAAAATTATTTACGGAGGTACCCTCTTTTCTATACAAGTTCGTGCATCCAATTGACGAGAGGGTGCAGAAATTTTTTTGGAGGAGAAGTTCGTCCATTCCAAGAACGAGCTTGTGAGAATCAGTTTGGAACAAACTAGTTCGTCCATCTATTGGACGAGCCTATGAAGCGTGATTTTTTTTATTCAGATTTATTTATGATTGATTAATTATATTAATTAAAATCTTGTATTTATTTATTGTATTTATTTATGGACGAAGGATACCTTCGTAAATAATTTTAAAAATAGGGTATTATGGGATTTTTCTTTTCAAATGACATATTTCATATGTCATTTTGAATTGTGTTATTTTTCATACATGAATTTAACAATAAAATTTGCCAATATCTTATAGTTAAACATATCTTTATATTTGGTTAATTATGTTTGGTATTAATTTGTATTTTATTACTTTTAACAAATGAATATGATAATTAATTTATGATTCAAATAAAAAAAACTTTAAATAATTGATAGATTTATTAGTTTAAATTGTAATTTAGCGTTCGAGTTATTTATAAATATAAATCTAAAACAAAAACCAAATGTAATTATCGTAAAAAGAAAAAATGGAATAATGTAAAAAAGAATGACATACATCATTTAAATCACTAACTATGTAGAATTTTTTATCATTTGTGTATGTGTTTTGTGGTATTTTGGATCAAACTCTAATTTTAATAGAAATAATTTCTTATTTCGACAAGAACTGTGGATGTTATAGTCGAAATTTGTTCAAGTATGTAGGAGTCAGAGATGCACGTATTGTAGTCGAAGTTTGTTCTAGTATGTTGTCGAAATATTAGCTTGTAGTTTGAGTTAACATGTCGAATTAGGTCAGTTTGTTGGGTCAATTGTTTAGCATGTTAGTTGAAAGTTGGGGTTTAGTTTTCTTATAAATAACATACTAGTCATCACTTCTCCATCAATCCCTGATAATCCTAATTAGAGAAAGAAAGTTGTGTGGTTTAGATTCAATTGTAAACATTACTCCCATATGTGTAATTGAATCAAGAATCCAGGGATTTAAGCCACTTTGAATTGGCTTTCTCTTTCTTCTCTTTTTTCTTTTACCTTCTGGTTTTCTTGTTGATCAAGAAACCAATCATACTCTATTTTTCGAGCATCAATTTCACAACAAATTTGCGGTGAGCGTGGAGGAGAAGATGTCATCAACAAAATATAAGATTGAGAAATTCACCAGTGTAAATAATTTCGCTTTGTGGCACTTGAAGATGTAAGTCCTACTAGTTCAGTAGGGTTTGTTAGAAGCGTTGAAAGGATTGGGGAAGATGGATGTTACCCTAACGACGGAGATAATCGAGAAAGCCCGCTGTGCAATAATCTTAGGCATTGGTGATAAGGTTCTGAGACAGGTTTCAAAGGAGAAAATTGCAGCGGGTGTATGGAGCAAATTCGAGGGGTTGTATATGACCAAATCTTTGGTCAATCGTCTTTACCTAAAGCAAATTTTGTATTCATTCAAGATGAGTGAAGACAAAGTTTTGGCTGAGCAGCTAGATATGTTCAACAACTTGATTTTTGATCTTAAAAATATCGAGGTCAAGATTGATGATGAAAATCAAGCATTGATGTTGTTGTGTGCTTTACCTAAGTCTCATGCTCATTTCAAAGAAACTCTTTTGTATGGAAGAGATTCGTTAACCTTTGAAGTAGTTCGATCAGCCTTGTACTATAAGGATTTGAACGAATGAAAGAAGCACAAACCATCGTCTGTTGGTGAAGGTTTGTTCGTTAAGGAAAAATTCTCAAAGAATAGATTTGAGAGAAAGAATGATAAAGTTCTACAAAATTCTTATGGTGGTAATGCTCATACAATTAGGTGGTATCATTTTAAGAAGCAGAGTTATACAAGAAAGGTGTGTCCTGATCGACTGAGTAATCATGGTGGAAAGGATAATGGTAATGAAACAATTGTGCAAGATAATTATGAATCATTTGATGTCCTGGTAATTTCAAGCAGCGACTATAGCAAGGAGTGGATAGTGGACTCAGGGTCTACTTGGCACATGACTCCAAACAAGACGTGTTTGAGAATTCGTGAGATTCAAGCTTCATGATGGGTCAATAATGTTATTGACTGGTGTCAGGTATTTACCTGAACTTAAGAGAAATTTTATTTCTCTTAGTGAATTCGAAAAGAAAGGATATGTTTTCAAGGAGAGAAAAGTATCCTAAGGGTAATGAAGGGGTCGAATGAAGTCTTAAGAGGCACGAAGAAACAATATTTGTATACCCTTGAAGTTGAGATTGTAGGTGGTTCAGCAGATGCGACACCTACAAAATATGTGTCTAAAATTGAGTTGTGGCATAAACAACTTATTCATGTCAGTGAAAGAGGTCTGGTCGAATTGTCGACACAAAATTTGTTATATGGTGACAAGATTGAAAAACTGGAGTTTTGTGAACCTTGTGTATTTGATAAATCATGTAGGATGAAGTTCAACAAGAGAAAACAAACACATGGATCTCTTGATTATATTCATGATAATCTTTGGGGGCCTGCAAGAAATTCTTCACACTCATACGCAAATATTTTCTATTCATATTTAATGATTACTCACGAAAATTGTGGATATTCATTCAGATGCCAAGTTGATATTTTTCCACATACGCACTCCCACCATTATGTCCAAATATTGGAACGAAAAACTGTAGTTCTAACTAGGGCTGTCAATGAACCGAACCAACTCGAAAATAGTTCGGAACTCAATTCGACAATTAAATCGTTGAATTAGTTTCATAAATCAAATGAGTTTAATATGAGCGAAAAATTAAGTTCGTTAACTAAATGAGTTAAACTTGAATTATACATAGGTCAACTCGTTAGGTTCATGAGTCAACTCGATTACATATGAGAAGAATTATATTGTCTTTAAGCTTAGGCTTAAATATTTACTCCAAATCTTAGACAAATTTAATCTTCAATTGAGTAATTTTTTAATTAGACTCTCAAATGTATTTCTTAAAAGTTGTGTAGGTTTTGAATTAGTAGATTTATGAGATAAAGTTAAATTTTCATATGATAACTTTTATTTTATTTTAATATTTTATTTTTTAAAAAAATATTAATTTAAAATGTCAAATATATTTAAAAATATATATATTTTAAAAAATAGTTTTTAAGTCCGTGGACCATGTGAACTGAACCTAATGAGATGAATCTAACGAGTTGAACTAAACTGTTTGTGAACTTATAACGAGTCGAGTTTGAGCTTACAAAAAATTTCGTGTCAAACTCGAACCGAAATTTGAACTGAATCAATTTTTAACAAGTCGAGTCAAGCTGAGGTGAGTTCGACTCAACTCTACTCATTTTCAACTTTAGTTCACAAATTCAGAAGTCTTCACCGTAACCAAGAAATCATCGCAGGCACTGATATCCATTAGACAACTTTTACAGAAATTAACATCAAAACCAAATACAACTTCGCCAACTCGTTCGCAAAATCTCAAATTAACATGGCTGTATCAACAAGACCTCCTTCCACCGCATGATTCTTTCATAGCCTTATCTTCATTTCAAAATCATGCACACTATACTCCATTTTCAAGTAATCAAAAAGATAAATGTATCATTTCAGCAAGAGTCCATTTTGTCTTGTCTTTTCTTAGTGCGAGAATTATGCACTGTTTTCAAATAATCAAATTATTTGTCTAAAATTTATGTTGATTTTATTTTTCAAAAAGAAAATAGATTGAAGTGAACAAGTGTATATATATTTTAGAAATAATGAAAATGTCAAACTTTTTCTCATTATTTGCATAATTGCATCATTTTTAAATAGCATTTCTTTATCTATATCACAATTGTTCACTTCAAAAATCTTATATCAGACGTATACAGGCCTTAAGTATCTATCTAGATGCTAATATGAGACCATAATCCCAGCTAAAATTGCTCTATCTACCTATTTTTATTATTCCCCTCGAATGAATCATATATGTGGGCGAAATGGATGATTAAGATTTGCTACTCTATTAGAAATTGAAATTGTGGTCTAATTTGATGTTGTTGACAATGCTCAGACGTACACCATCTCTAGAAAAATAGTTTACAAGGAACCAACCAAAAACAATGATACAACAAAATAAATTACATTACAATCTTGTACACAAGTCCAATGATGATCAAGAGGCAAGCAAAATACCATCACAGACCATTTGGTAGCACAACCTAAGAAGTACATCTAACAGGTCAGTTCATCCATCATTCAACTGTTTCGGCTCCGTGAACACTGTATCAAAAACTGCTAAATTATCAAACTTATTATCCTTTCTCAATTATGAACACACTAACAAAAATCTGATTTATATTTCAGGTGGCGGGCTGGGCTTGGTGAAGTGTGAGAAGTACAACACTAGATATCCTTTCTGTCAATCCTCTTGTTGCTTAACTTAGATCTATTCATCCCATTTTGGGACAGCACGTTGGTCACAATTAGAGTCGGTTCTCTCTCTTCAAGAAGTAACTTCTGATTCACTAATCTGAGTATCATTATGATCATTGCCAGAATCAGGTACCGAACTGTCAGAACTCTGTGCAGGAAGAACCATCACTGAATGGGTTTGAACAGTTGTAGATTCTTCCTGTTGGACGGTTTCATGATCACTATGTTCTTCGTTAGAATGCATGTACAATAAACCAAACTTCTGTCCATGATTTAGTCCAGGGCAGAAACCCTGCAGAATTATAACAAAATGCTCAACAGTATTCAAGTCTTATCCCACTAAGTGGGGATATAACAAAATACTCAAAACATGAAAGAAATGTTTTCAATTTAAATTATAAAATAAAAAATTCCCAAAATACACAGAAATATATATCTGATTTCTATAGAGCAATCTGTTATTTATTCTCATATATGTACATCAGTTCAAATCAATTGGCAGTTACTCGTCAAATATGTCCATCCCTGCCATACATGTTATTCCTCTCGTGTATATTGGGAATCAGTACTATAATAAAAATCTCATTCCACTTAGTTTCTGATCCAGTTTTATCTTCTCAAATATAGTTACATAATAAGAAATATAAAATATTTGGCGGAAGCCAAATTTTGATGAGACAATTACATTTCTAGCCTTCCGATGTAAATAAAGAAATAAGTGTAAATAAGTTTTATCCATTTCAAAACCAACTGACATAAGATGAATAATATGAAAGGAGCGAAATAGAAGGTCCAAGTGAACATGGATCAGTCAGAGTGATGGTTGAAAGAGTGCCGAGTACCTTGATCAAACCAGAAGAAGCACTTGCTTCAGAAGTAGTGTAGTCTGAGGAGTATGTAGATTTAGTCCAGCTCCCATAAAATCTACTATCATTTGATTCGTGTTTAACTCTCTCAGCCTCAGACACAAAATAAGTTTGTCTCAAATCACCACTTCTACAATAAGCCCCATAGTATAAACAATGTTCCCTCACAAGAGAGATTTGAGGAGTAGCAGGCAATAAATGACCTTCAGTGCTGAATACATACCTGTTTCACAACAAACAGAAAAAGAAGCAACTAAATTTTAAAGTATAAAAAGACCAGTCACTAAACTGTAAATATATAAGCCTACTACTCACTTGTATGGCCCATTTTCCACAAGGTTATCAGGACCCACGGCCAAATCAAAAAGGAGCCACAGATACTTCACCTAATAGGTAACATAGGTTATTAGCAAAAATACTCTTTCAAACAAATAATAGAAGACAAAATATGAAAGGAAAGACAGAATGTTAACGGTAATAAGAGGCATAATTTATAAAGGAAAAGAGAGAGCTCAAACAAAATGAAGTTTATAGAAATTTATAAAACCATTCCTGACTTTAACTCAAAACTTAAGCTTGTATATGAGAGCTAGACATTTTACCAAAGTCGCAAGTAAAACCATAATACCCACCACAATTGTCAATGCTACTAGAAACACCGGTTGAAGCCCTAAATAAAGATGAAAGACTGTACTTGACAACAATTTTCAGTGAAAAACTAGATAAAATTATGTTTTAAATTTTTGTTATGGGTTTCAAAAAGTTTGAGGGTATATGTTCTCAAAATCATGTAGAATATATTCTTACAGTCTCAGCTAAAAAGAAACTCTCCATATGATCTTCTTGTTTGTGATGTTCAACATCTGAAATGTGACAGTATCCACAAGGGCATCGAGTCCCATACTGTAAACTAGCAAGCATGTCCCTCCCAGCATCAAGATATCTACAAAGAAATGCATATGACAGAATTAAAATTCATATGTAAGAGCAGACCTTATGCCACATCTATCAACAAATCATTTATAAAAGTTGATCATGAACAGTAATATCAGTTTCCTACTTTGCAGGAAAATATGGAGAACAAAAACTCTTAATTGCAGACCACTCGAAAAATCATGAATAGTGCACCCTCTAAAAACAAAAAGAAGAATTGCGACAAAAAAAATCCACTAGCATACAATAAAAATCATCTATGAAAAATTTTAGGGAAGGAGGTAGTAATATTCTATGAAAAATTTTAAAAGAGGGTGTTAAATCTCTCAAACTATGCTTGTGAAGACTCGTTCAAGGCTTTAAGCCACAAGGAATAGACAATAAACAAGTAAAGAGAGAGAACCATTAGAGAGAAAATGCTTCTTTTGAATTTGTAAGCACTCGGCTAGCCTTAGTTATTTTAGTAAAGTGGGCTATACACAGTGTACATTTGTAGAACTATAAGCAGACATGAGGAAGAATTATTTTTATTAACGGTACAACAAACTAAAAGCAAATATAAGCAGACCTAGGATTTCTGGTAGCTTTGTATAGCCAATATGTGCTCTCTATTAACTCAGGCCGCAGCGGGTAACTCTTTTGCCCATGCTGATATAGTGAGAGAGAAAAATACAGAGGTCATAAATATTAAAGATGAAAAAGAAAAAATTGCCTCCTAAAAGAAATATACTTTTATATTGGCAAAAGAAATGCATTAGATTTGGCTAAATGAAAATGAAGGACCATCAACTAAATGGCTAGTTTGTATCTTTAAATCTACCACAGTCAATCTGTCATCAGCCGTATGAATTACTCCAACAGTAACACTGACAAGACAAACATGTTAAATCTGTTAAACATAAAACCAATAATGTTTTACTATTAACACTAGTTTAGCTATATACCTCAAACAGCTCTTTCTCAGATAATATGTTAAGATCTATTTTCAAAAAAGTAGGCCTCTATAGAAATATGCTTTTTCTATATTATTTATTCTGTAACATAGTACATGAGTATTTATAGAATATAAATTACACTAAGAAATAGGGGTAATTATTCTCCCTATAAATGCTAATCCTAAATAAGGTAAGAATATAATAATACAATTAATTTCTATTTAATCACAATTTGAATCCAGCCATAATGAGCTGTATGACAGAATCTGTTTTGATTTTGTGCTAATATTCAACACTCCCCCTCAAGCTGGCATGAATATATCGTTCATAGCAAGCTTGCACACCATGTTATCAAACAGTCTCTTTGGAAGACTCTTTGTGAGAACATCTGCTACTTGACTTTTGGTAGGTATGTAGGACATACAAATCTCACCGCTGTCAATTTTTTCTTTGATGAAATGCTTGTCCACTTCAACATGCTTCGTCCTGTCATGTAGGACAGGATTATGGGCAATAGAAATAGCAGCCTTATTATCGCAGTAAACTTTAATTGGAGTTGGGCCAAAGAACTTCAATTCTTCCATGAACTTTTTGATCCATAATACTTCACAAAAACCATGGGCCACAGATCGGAATTCAGCTTCTGCACTGCTCCTGGCTACAACATTTTGTTTTTTGCTCCTCCATGTAACTAGATTTCCACCTACAAAAGTACAATATCCTGAGGTAGACCTTCTATCATTTATATTACCTGCCCAATCAGCATCTGTATAGGCTTCAACCTGTATATGTCCTCTATTTCTGAATATCAGCCCCTTTCCCGGAGTACCTTTCAAATATCTTAATATTCTGAAAATAGCTTCAAAGTGGGCTGCACCTGGTGCATGCATAAATTGGCTTATTACACTCACTGCAAAGGCTATATCTGGCCTTGTATGTGACAAATAAATTAGTCTTCCAGCCAATCGTTGATAACGTTCTTTATCTACTATTTCATCTTCAGCAACTGACTTTAGTTTCACATTGGGATCCATTGGTGTTTCTACTGCTTTAGACCCTGTCATCCCTGTTTCTGCAAGTAAATCGAGTATGTACTTGCGCTGGTTGAGAAAAATACCTTCTTTAGATCTTGCGAACTCCATCCCAAGAAAGTATTTTAACTTTCCAAGATCCTTGATATCGAACTCAGCCTCAAGTCTTCTCTTCAGATCACTAATTGCTTTGACGTCATCTCCTGTAATAATAATGTCATCAACATACACTATTAAGATAGCAATCTTACCTTCAGATGAGTGTTTAAAGAACATAGTGTGATCTGCTTGACTTTGGGTGAAACCGTGTCTCTTAACAACACTTCCAAATCTCTCAAACCAGGCCCTTGGCGATTGTTTCAATCCATATAGGGATTTTCTCAATCTGCATACTTTGTTTCTTCCAAGATTTTTTTCAAATCCAGGAGGTAAACTCATATATACTTCTTCATGTAATTCACCATTCAAGAAGGCATTTTTAACATCATATTGATATAGTGTCCAGTTGAAATTTACTGCAAGAGAAAGAAGAATTCTGATAGAATTGATCTTAGCAACTGGGGCAAAAGTCTCTTGGTAATCAATACCATGAGTTTGAGTAAATCCTTTTGCTACTAATCTCGCTTTGTATCTTTCCACACTTCCATCAGCCTTGCATTTCACTGTAAAGACCCACTTACACCCTACTGCCTTTTTATCTTGTGGTAGATCAGTGATACTCCAAGTGTTATTTTTGTTTAGAGCATCCATCTCTTCTTTCACTGCTAATTTCCAATTCGGATCACTTAATGCTTCCTGAATAGTTCTGGGCACAAACAAATTAGAAATCCTAGACACATATGCCTTATGGGTGTGTGATAGTTTGTCATATGACAAGTAATTAGACATAGGATGTTTAGTGCACATACGAGAACCTTTCCTCTCAGCAATTGGGACATCGAGGTCAGGAATATTTTTTCTCACAGAAATTGGAAGATTAATATCAGGAAAAGACAAATCAGATAAATCATTGGATGAGTAAGAAGGATTACCAGATGAAGAACTAGAAGACAGATTATCTGTAGGACCTTCACTTGGTAAATCAGATTGGATTTCTACTGGAGAGACAATAGGGTTTGCACCACCTTTGTGGAATTTTTTTCGAACATACACTTTAAGTTCAGGATTATCATCCTTAATCAGTGTTTCTCCCCCTGTTTCAGATTCTATTATCTTAGCATTTGGGTGATTTGTAGTCACAATATCATCTAGAGCAGGCAAAGTTTCCCAAAAATTATCTTCTTTATTATTACATTGACTCTCCCCCTGAAGAGAATTTTTAAAAAAAGGTTGATTTTCAACAAAGTGAACATCCATGCTTTCAAAAAATTTCTTTGTAACTGGGTTAAAACATTTGTATCCCTTTTTATTGGAAGCATAGCCAAGAAAAACACATTTTTCGGCTTTAGGATCCAACTTAGAACGAAAAACATTGGGGATGTAAACATAACAAAGACAACCAAAAATTTTAAGGGGAAGATCCGTAATAATACGAGATGTAGGAAAATTGTTTTGTAACACTTGTACAGGACTTTCATATTGTAACACCCGAGATGGCATTCGATTGATGAGGTGACAAGCAGTTAATAAAGCATTTCCCCAAAGATACTTAGGTACATTCATAGAAAACATAATAGCTCTAGTGACTTCGAGGAGATGTCTATTTTTTCTTTCAGCAATACCATTTTGCTGCGGAGTATCGCGACAAGTGGATTGATGAATTATCCCCTTAGTTACAAGGAATGTACTTAAATATTTGTTGAAATATTCAGTGCCATTGTCAGACCTTAGAATGCCAATCTTAGTTTGAAATTGATTGTTAATCATGTTAAAAAAATCTTGAAATCTTTGTTCAACTTCTGATTTTTTCTCCATGAGATAAACCCAACACAGCCGTGTATGATCATCAATAAATGTTACAAACCATTTTTTTCCAGACATAGTTTTAATTTTTGAAGGACCCCAAACATCACTGTGAATTAAATAAAAAGGTTTAGAAGCAGAATAGGCTTTTGATTTAAAAGACACACGATGATCTTTAGCTAAGTGACAAGCTTCACAATGAAATTGTGAGGAATTTATTTCTTTGGAAAAAATAGGAAACAAATGCTTAAGATATGAAAAACTAGGGTGACCTAATCTTTTATGCCATAACATAATTTGATCTGAAACAGGAGATGCGTTTGTACTGTTTGAACCGAAAAACGCTTTATTGCCAAACTGAATTCCATCAAGGTAGTACAATCCATTCATCTCTCTAGCAGTTCCAATCGTCTTCCCCGAGTTCTGGTCCTGAAAAACACAAGTAGAGGGACGAAAAAGAACAGAACAATTAGTGTCCTTAGACAATTTATGAACAGATAGAAGATTACAAGCGAATTTAGGAACATGTAAAACAGATTGCAAAGTGATTTGCTCTGAAATTTTTATGCTGCCTTTGCCTGCAATACTTGAATAACTACCATCAGCTATCCTAACTTTTTCAAAACCTGAACTAGGAAAATAGGTACTGAATAGATGAGAGCAATTAGTCATGTGTTCAGATGCCCCTGAATCTATTATCCAAGGGTTAGAGTGGTTGTGAGCAGATAGTGCCCAAGAATCCTTACCTGTTTGTGCCACAGTTCCAGTAGGGATATTAAGAGATGAATTGGACTTTAGAAACTTAAGAAGGTTATCCATTTGCTCCTTCGTACATGGAGACGAATCAGCCTCATTGGCCATAGGCATAGGACGATCACCAAACTTACCAGCCTTGCCATGATTTGGTCGCCCATGTAGTTTGTAGCAAGTTTCCCGAGTGTGGCGATTGCGCCCACAGTAATCGCAAAATAAATGAGTCTTGTCTCCACCTCGTTGATTATGAAGTGGTTTACGATTGACATGGGGAATTGCCAAGGCAGATCCTTCAACTGGTGGAGGGACAGCTGCTGTATTTTTTCCAAGCATCACTTGCCGACGACTCTCTTCGCGACGTACTTCTGAAAAGACTTCACCAATTGGAGGGATAGGATTTCTGCCTAGAATTCGGCCACGAACCTCATCAAAATCAACATTTAGACCCGCAAGGAACTTGAAAACACGACTAACATCCACCATCTTCTTGTAATGTTTGCTATCGGCAGGTGATTTCCACTCATACTCATTGAAAAGGTCCAAATCTTGCCAAATACGTTTGAGACAATTGAAGTATTTGGTGACTGAATCTTCACCTTGCCGAATTTCTCCCAATTTGAGAGTTAATTCGTAGATTTGGGATTGATTTTCCAAATCAGAGTACATTTGGGAGACACCTTCCCAAAGTTCTTTTGCAGTATCATAACAGAGATAATTTGCACCTATCTCTTCATCCATGGAGTTAACTAACCATGTCATGACCATGGAGTTTTCAGCATCCCATGTATCATAATCTGCACCTGCCTTGTCTGGTTGTTTTTTGTCGCCAGTAATGTAGCCAATCTTTCCTCTCCCCCTGAGATACATACGAACGGATTGCGACCATCGAAGATAATTAGCACCGTTCAGCCGAATTGTTGTGATCTGAACAGGGTGGTTTTCATGGTACGTTCGGACTAATTTAGGTTCGGGTGAGGAATGTTTGGGTGAAAGTGAGGACTCGGTATCAGACATTGTGGGATGTAAAAAAGATAAACAGAGCGGAAGCAAAAACAAAAAAAAAAACTAAAGGATTCTTGTTGCTACTGATACCATATAGAAATATGCTTTTTCTATATTATTTATTCTGTAACATAGTACATGAGTATTTATAGAATATAAATTACACTAAGAAATAGGGGTAATTATTCTCCCTATAAATGCTAATCCTAAATAAGGTAAGAATATAATAATACAATTAATTTCTATTTAATCACAATTTGAATCCAGCCATAATGAGCTGTATGACAGAATCTGTTTTGATTTTGTGCTAATATTCAACAGCCTCTTATTCTTGCATTACAAAAGAAGCTAGTAATCTTCATTCCTAAGGAACAACTTTCAGTAAACTTAGTAAGTTTTGGTACTGCTTTGTTATTAAGAAGTTTTGTAACCTCCAAGCTAAATGTTTTGCCAGTTTGTTGCTTTAGTCATATTTTGCAGCACTTGACTGGAGCCAGGTGCTCTCACCGAGGATGCCTTTTTGCCTTTAAAGTTTAAACTTGTTATAGGATAGAATCGTTAACTGATTCTCTTTAGTGTTCAGTTCACATGACTGCAAGAATGTAGCCAGAGTTAATATAGATGCAGCCTTGTTGCATTCTAAATTTTTCAACATTTCTGTTTGAAGGAAACCTCATTGTCGCCATTGTTAAACTTATACCTTTCTATTTTCTCTTTAGTGAGATTCTTTTTTCGATAAAATAATTTACTTATCATATGAACATAAATTTTGAGCTAGACGTTTGTTGGACAGGATGCTGTTCAAATTCAGGTGCAATTGATCACCAATTACTTTAAAACACTACAAATAGAAAGAAGGCTCGAACTTTAATAAACAAGCATTTTAACATCCATATTGGTTATTAGGTGTCAAAACTAAATATACCTGAACACTTAGACTAGCAAGATTAAAGCCCTCGGGGGTAAAACCATATCTTCTCCAGACACTCAAGAAGGCAGCATGAGTACGAGTTGCCGGATTTATATCTCCAGCTAAAACCTTGCAAAAATGCTTGTTATAATTAGACTTCACTATGACTTAACTAATTATACAGATCAACTAAAAATATTATATTATAACAAAAATAAGAAAATAAAAACCTGAAGGCCAGGCCAAAATGCCTGCAGACTGTTAAATAATGGCCAGACAATAGCAGCAGAATCCATATTAACTTCTACATACCTAAAAGCATAAATCCAAGTCCAAGTTTCAAACTTGAAATACATTAAGAAGTAAACACGTTTGAGTTTCAAAGAACTTAGACAGCAAGTCAGGTATGTTTACAGGGTGGCATGCGTTGCCACAAGCTTTTACCAAGGATCATGGTAAAGATAATGCATGGCAGCAGCATAAGCTTCTTGAAATATATACAGGTACTCTTCATCTCCAAATAATAGATAAGCCTGAAAGATCATGTATGGAAAACAAAATCAGACAAACTAATGTAATACTAACTAACAAAGCCTATAACTATAATGACTTAAGGATCTTTAACCACATGTTTTTTTCATGCAATAAAAAAACACAAATCATACAACCAAAGTAGATAGGGCTGATAGTTGAGAAGCATAAATTACAAACAACAAGACTGAGTTCAAAGTTTGTAACAAGTGCATAAATTTAATTCTAAGAATATCCTCGGCACCGAGTTCAGACAAGTAGAAGAACAATAATGTGAGACAATTTTACTTGTTTAAATTTGGACATTAGAAAAACATTACATATAAAGAAAGCACGTTATGAAAAATGCATAAGCTTTTTTTCCCTTCTAAATCAGATAAAACCAATGGAGCAAAAGAAGAGAAATGTACAACTAGGAAGAATCAAGAATGTCATGTGAAATAAACTATATAGTAATGCAGAAGCAAATACAACAAAACATGTGCCTACTTGAATACAGGCACAAACACAGCACATGAAATATGCAAGAAAAATTCCTGAAAAATCATGGATATGTTTTGGTATACTAAACTAAATCTAGATAGTAGCTAGGAACAGTGGTTCTTTTGCAGATTAATAAAAATTGACTCTTCAGCACAAATTGCTCTATGGAGGCTTCATCATATAAAAATATTCCTGCTACTAACCTTCAATAAATACTCATAAAAAGAGTCGATACTAGTTCCTATCCCAGCATCCTGCAGAAAGGCAAAGAGATTGCTGTAGTTACTGCTATTACCTAACATAGCTTGCAAGGTACACACGTAGATAAAACAGGAGTAGAAATAGAAGCACTGTAATTGCTAAAGAAAGTAGGATATAAAATTCTGTAAATTATGTATGGCTCTATTATTTTAAATATTAGCTCGCTACAAATAATAGATGAAAAATATGCTACAAAATAAAGAATACATAATATATTATCTATGTGTGTATGTGTTCCTTAAAACTCTTTATTGTGTAACTTTCCCCAAATAAAATGCATTATGTACCTTTTGAGTCCATTCACCTGTAAAAACATTAATATGAGCCCCAACCAAATTAAGTTTTGAGCGTTGTGCCCAAATTGCAAGCACTGCATTCTTGGTGACTTGTTCAAAAACTGCATGTTAAAAATTCACACAGAAAGGTTATAAGTACTAAGACAGTGTAGCCACCCCACATTCCAACAGAGGGAAGAACAGAAAAATTGTCAATTAAAGAAAAGCTAAAATGTAAAAACCGAAGTACATAACAAAAGCTGCAAAAAACTGTGAATAGACAAGACTGGTAACATTTAAGATGCTGAAGTATACTATTTAGATAATGTTAATTTGCCAAGCAATACATAGGAATGTAAACCTGCAATTTCAATAATTAACATTTTCATGGGCCGGAGGGATAGGTTGGTATCTACAAATGATAATGAAGGTGTGTTTTGACTTAAATAAAAAAAGGAGGTGGGTTTGGTACAAGATACAACAATTGAGCAAAACACTCAAATGTAATTTACTCGTTTGTTTTTGTTCTAGGAATATTTGGTACTAAGAGAGATAGAACTCAATGAGAAATAGACAAGCAACAAACTCAAGGATCGAGTGGAAGTAACTAGCAACGAAAGGAAGGAAAACAAGTGTGAATTAACAAAAAACTACTAGAGGGAGATATTTGGGACATTAAGAATGCCAACCTCGTTTTGGAGGAGATCTCAGAATGTTAGTAAGTTAGTTGGTTATGTTAGTTACTATTAGAGTTTGGCCTAACACTACCTTACAAAACCGGTTGGTAAGGTGAGGGGTGCCACTCTATATAAACTATTTCAATGCTCTATCTCCAACCAATGTGGGACTTTAGGATCTTCCTAATACACCCCCTCACGCCCAGCACTCTTTTTGGGCTTGGTGCGTGGATTTAAACGGTGGGCTGCCCAAGGTCCGATCGATAGGCTCTGATACCATGTTAAGAAATGTGGTTGGGCCTAACTCAACCCTACAAAACCGGTTGGTAGAGTGAGGATTACCCCCACTTATAAACACATGTTCATGTCATATATTGTCCGATGTGGGACTCTTAACACACCCCCTCACGCTACGCTCAGGACTGGACAACTGAAGCGTGGAAATAAATGGTGGGTGGCCCGATAGCGGAAACCATAGAAGGTGGCCCACCGGATCTTAAACGAGACTCTGATACCATGTTAAGAAATGTGGTTGGGCCTAACTCAACCCTACAAAACCGGTTGGTAGAGTGAGGATTACCCCCACTTATAAACACATGTTCATGCCATATATTGTCCGATGTGGGACTCTTAACAGTTACCAATAATCAAACCCTAAACCTCCTACTTAAAACTCATTTGGTGTCCCTTAGCTCACCAACCCGAACTACCTACTAGGGACAAGAAAGTAGCGACCGGTGAAAAGGGGAGATTTGGACACAGTAAAGAACAATGAAAGGAATTAAGAGAAGGTTGAATTCAAGGTAAGTGTTTCAAAGCAGTGCACCTCTGCAAAATGTACCAAAAACTATGAAAGTAGTCAATACTGTATAACTAAGAAATACCAAAAACTATGAAAGTAGTAAATATTATATAACTAAGTATTGCAAAGGAAGTTGGCCAAGCATGGTAGTCCATTTTGATATTTTAAGGAGAGTCGAGATTGTAAATCACAAATCATAAGATCATACAAATTTCATAAACATGCATATAAATGCATATAAAAATAGCATAAATGAGAAGAAAACTTTAAGATACTTATTAAACTTAATTCAAAATCCATAAGTCCTACACAGTTAATAGGTCAAAATTAAAAACATAAGTGAGAATGTTAACAAGTACGAGGATATCGAAATTCAGTAGACAAACTCTAGATATCTAATCTAGGACATCTTTCCAGTTAAAATCATAATCTCCCATAGGATAGTAATACTGCCAAGTAACAATGCTGGTCCAATGCATTCCTACTAGATTGCAATTCTACTTCTGATCGGGGTAATCAGGGTAACCAAAGATCATAAGATTGTATGATCATATGACTCTGATCACAATTTTGACCACCTGGAGCAGATAAAAGCCAATGCTTTTGATGAATTATATCAATCTTTAGGCCCCAAATTTAATTGTGTTTGAATGATCTAAATCTATAATAGATTTCGACTCCTTACATAACATATGCATACAAATAATCTAAAGGTGAAATGGGAAACTTACTAGGATCATTTGTCAAACGGCTTAGAACACCAAATTCAAGAGTCAAGGTTCCACCGCCAGCTGTTGAAGTTATCTAAGCAAAGAAGTACTAACTTTTTAATGCAATATGAAACAATAAGTTGCCAATATAATAATATATGACATATAATGAGAAGGAAACTACTTTCGGAGAGAGTTGCACGTTTCTTAAAACAAAAACAGTAGAGCAAAGATGAGTCTAAGCCATTTCAGTGCTAAACTAAAATAAGCTACCCACTTGTTTCCCATACATCATTTGACACTATTAGCCAATTTACCAGATCATTGACTAGAAAACATAGACCTACATTTTCCAACATAAAGGAGAAAGCAAGTGAAAAGATTACCTTGCTTTCATGTTTATCAACTCCATGTAACAAATTTACAGACCCAAATGGAATTCCTGAAAATACAAAATAGCATGTAAAAGTCAACATATGATGCACTATGGAGGAGGTAAAACAACATTCTCTACCAAGCTAGGCTGAAAATATTATCATTTTTGCACCAAACTCGGTAAATAACTTGAAAGGTGGTTTCTATACACCTCTCTCTGCTGCTACTTTCCTGAGATTGTGTATGGCATGTAGAACACAAGTCTGAATTCATGTACAACAAGAGGCTAATCAAGGTTAACCTCTACCCCATTCGTGGTTGACTTTAGTAGTTGAATTTTATCATTTAAGTCCAATTCTTTCAAGAGTTGTTGATAAGATCTTGTCGACGGTATTAGAATTGGTTCAGATATTATTAGTGTTCAACCTTTAGTTTGCTGAAAGATACTGCTTTCTTTTCAGAGAAAGATAGTGAGTGGTCTTTTAGTCTTTGAAGCTATTTCTGGTCTGATGAATAATGTTGGTGAAATCAGACTAATAAAGTTGAAGGCTTTTCAATGGTCTAATGTTGGTGAACAAAACAAGGAAATTATTTCTTGTTAGTAAGGAGGATGATCGCAGTTGTAGGTCATAATAAAAATAATGAAGTCAGTTTCGATGGCATGCAGTTTATACAATTCTTTTGTGCATTTGGTTGAAGCAGTGTGGATACTTAAGGGAGTTCTTTTGCTATTAAATTTTATGAAATAGGGCTATTCATGTTTTTAACTTATATATTACGTTCTGGCCATGGCTGTTTCAAAGGGGTTTCCCTCTCCAGCTTGAAGAGAGATGAGGTGGCCTTCTTTAACTATTAAGTACTATCCTCCCTCTCACTATGCATTCCTTCTTTTTCCTGATTAAAATTCTCATTTTAAAAAATTATCCAAATTTCAGCCCTCAAAATGTAAATGTGATATATGAAGCACTAGGAGTTTTTTCATGTACACATTTTCATTCTTCACTTGTGTGTGTCAGTGTCAAAGTATAATGCCATCAAAGTAAAAACTAAAAAGACAATATGTTTAGTTAAAAAGGATGCAGATAAAATAATCCTTTATGGAACTGAGAGAGATGATTATGTGCAAAAACATACTAAAAGATAAGCACAATTGTGTGTAGATCAAGTAATACCAGTAGGAGTATCAAATGCAGGTAACAACCTCCTTGCAAGATCTTCAGCCAAGTTCAGTAACTGATTATCATACGATGGAACTCTCATACCCTGCAGAACATTAGGCAAGAAGAGAATTGTTTTCGACCTTAAATGTATGCGTAAAAAAGCATCTGAAATAGATGCAATACTGGCCAAGCAGAGGCCTGAAAAATAACGATCCTACCACCTGAAGGGTGGGAACCAAAAAACAAAGGGTAAAAAAAAGAATAATCCAATCAATTAAGCACTTAAAAACCATCTTCCATATCACGTCCCAAAAGGACTTGGGCCATTGCAATTTCAAAACTTGTCGATCAATAATAAGGGATATACAAAGAATCCAAACTGATTTTCAAACCAATTATCCAAAAAGAACTTGAGAATGACAAGAAAGAAAGCATTCACAAAAGAGCTACTATCAATGACTAATAAAAGTGAAAAGACATAAAAAATCAATTCCCGGAATTATTAAAAATGGCAGATACATATGCACATTCAAAAAAAAAAATTGATCCAAACATAAACCACTCTATATACAACTCACTTATGACAAAATTTAACTTTACAAAAACATTCCATTCCTATTGAGTACACCTTCCATTCCTATCAAAAACATTCTTAATGCATCAACATTTATTAACCATAAAACAAAGCCTAAGCTCGTCAATTCAATTGTATTATCACAAAATGATAAATAAATTTTAATAAAAACTAATACCGTAGCATAATCAGAAGCGATTAGATGAGCTGAAATCAATCCTCCAAGAACCCTAATAGTAGTCTCAAAAACAGAAACCGTCTTATTCTGCAAAACTCAACAAAAACACAAAATAAACCATAAACCATAAGCAAATAAAACAAACAGCTTAACAACATTTCACTTATATTTAACTATTAGAACAAGTTAGCCGACTCTACTCACTATCATATCAAAGCGAAGATTTTTACCAATCCATTCAACAGAAGCAGTAAACCGCTCACGGTCACCAAGTAAAGCCAAAGTATCCAACGAATCAATCTGCATTATCATTTCAATTCCATTTCAATTTCCATTTCAATTTCAATCAATGAATCACACACTATACAAAATCGAAATCACGAACCAAGGTTAATGCATAACCGCCAAGCGTATCCTCTCCTGAACACGATAGAGGCTTCAATTCATCGAGTGGAAAAGCGTTGTCCATGTAACCGTTAAAAGCGTGATAGAACATTTCACCGACTTCGTTACGGAGTTGTTTAGCTTCTTCTCTGGTGACGGTGTCGGCGAAGGATGCGGTGAGGTAAAAGGAAGAAATGCAAGCTAGTAATGGTAAGATTGAAGAACGGATCTGAATCGGAGAGTTCTTTGCACGTTCCATTGAATCAGAAGAAAATTGATTTGATAAACGATAAGAAGAATCGTTCGATTGCACTATGGATTCATGATTTTCAAGTTTCAATACTCTCTCGTCAATTTCTTGCTTTGCACTTTCTCATTTGGTCTATTCGAGTTTAGACACGCATTCGATCCAATTACAATCCACTATTTTGATATGTCAGCTCTGTTTTGTAAATCAGAAATTTTTGTTTATATAAAATTATTTTATTAAGTTTTTTTTTAATTTTTCTTATAAAATGTAATCAAATGTTGTTCTTTTATAATCTTAATGAATCTTTTTAACATATCATTATCATGCATTAAATCCTTGCATTCATGGAACCATGCATTGAATCTTTGGCCACATATTCATCCAATAAAAACATTGTAATAAATGTTTTAGTATATCATATGAAGCAACTCCTATAATTGTGTCATCATTCATTCCTATATTTGATTTGAGTTGATTATAGAATGGACAAAGCAAGAAATTAAGGACAAATCACTTTTACATCTATTCTATTGTGGCGTGATGAGTACTACTAAAAAATTATGTGATTATATTTTAATTCACCTCGTGATTGTTTTCAATTTTGACGCTATGAAATATCAAATGAAAAATTGTTATGCGATTCATTTAAATTGTGAAACAATTTGGCATACTGAAAACCAACTATTTAAAAAGAAAAGATGAAAGAGTTGCAAAGATTATAAATTTTATGGTACAAAGTGTCACTTCTAGATTTTAAGGGGAAATTGGCAAATATACTCGCGTTCGCACACGAATAACTATATTTGATACGATATAAAAGGTATATTATATAAATGTCAATTTGAAATAAGTTAATTAATTAAAAAGATGAATAACAATTTTATAAATTCAATTAATATTGATTAAAAATAAAATAGATATTGTATTGACAGTGACTTGTGAGTAGGGATGACAATTTGTCCCATCTTCCGTAGATAATTACCCACAACGAATGGGATAAAAACGTACAAAAATGAATACGGACACGGACTCGATTAATTATTCACTTAAATAAGTGGAGATAAGTGTGAGTATGGACACTTTAGTAATCATCTCACATCATACCCACACAATATATATATTTGTATATTTTAATTTATATTATTGTATAAAAATAAATATTTATAAAATTTATTAAAAAAACATCAATTTTAAACTACTACATATTTAATATAAGTGATCATTTATTTCATAATTTAACAATAATTTTTTAAAACACTTTTTAATATTTTTAAAAACTTAAAATATTATGATATTTTATACTTGATATATTTATTTTTATTATAAATGCGGGTAACGGATACGGATACAAACACTTATATATCTATAGGGTATGGGTGTCAATGTTGATACCCAAGCGGGTATGGACTCGGGTACAGAGATTTTTTTTGAACTGCAGGTATGGACTCGGGTACGGAGATTTTTTTCAACTGCGTGTATGGGAACGAGTACTATAATACTCTATCCAAACCCTGCCTATTGATATCCATACCGGTGAGATGGAGTTGTCTGCGAGACTATGGAGTATTGTCCAATTTGATATAATATAAAATGTATTTAGTTATAAATGTAAATTTGTAATGAGGTATATAATTGTAAAATAAAAATGATCGTATAAATTCAATTGTATTAAATATACGTACAAAAATAAAAATAAAAACTTATAAGATGGAGAAAGAGAGAAAAAAAATAGAAAATTTTGACATTTGTAAATATAATCATATTTACAATTTTTCTAGAGACATGTTTTCTTCCTTATATGTAAATGGCCCAGACCCCGTCAAATTCTAGCACAAGGTCCAATACTTATAAAAGATATATGAGCAAACATAAAAAAGGTTGGAGGCAAAACGACTGATCTTCGCATGCGCTTCCTTGGTCAAGGGAATAACCAGGAAGAAGCGATCATCAAAATCTTTCATTCTATCAGAATAAGCTTTAAAGTATCGAACATGTTGCCTCAAATAGAGTAAATCAGAAATGTGTGCATAGTCATAGTTATTTTGAAGAAAAGAATGGAAGATTATTGTCACGTTCGGCTTATCTTCTTTATACTCATACTAGTGTTGGAAGACTTTAACGAACACTTTATTTGTTGGATGCAGCTGCGAAGGGGCGATGAGAAAATGATTTGATACACCAACCTCGAACTTGTTCAAAGAAATTTGATAAGTAATAATGAAGAACAAGCATTCATGGAAAGGAATAACGCAACCACCATATCGGTTGCATATTCTCTTGTCTTCGTCCAAGGGAAGCACACCCCCTCCCCCCCAACCCATGTCCATTAAAGCTCGATCAAAAACATATTTTCTTACAAAAGCGAAGGCAACCTCTAATGTTATGATCCACTCAATCACCTGAAACGTCAGTGAATCCCGTGGTCGGGTAACAGTGCGTGTTAGAAACAATCGCCTTGAAAACAGAGACAAATGCTTGAGGGGCAACTATTTTAGGTCGTCTGCAAGGCCCAGAAAGCGGAGGCCCAATAACGAAACAAGAAGTTGGCACATGAAGAATAGATAGGTTTTTCTTCCCCCGTGTCATAGAGTATCCCTCACAAGGATACCATGTCAATCTCCCTAATCAATTCAATGGCTGGTCACATCCCACATCGTTTTACACACGTGCAGTTACCAACCAATTCCTATATTTAAAGAGAAAATCGTGTCATTTTACATGTATTCATATCCTTACCCATTCAAATTTTATTTCTTACTCTCTTACTGAATTTAGCATTGGAGTGCTAACCTTGCAGGTAAGTCCCCTCACCACCGCACCAGAAGCCCTGAACCACCGTAATAGATTGTGAATTCATCATATCTGATCATCATCTAGTTCTAAGACAAAACTGTGCGCATAATGAAAATATTTAAGATATATCAGGTGATCGTGAATTTTTTATTATTTTAAAATTAAAACCTATTCAAAAAAAAATTGAGTTAATTATTTATTTAATTTTAAAATTACTTTCCACTTAAACTCAACAAAAAATGTTTTGAAAATCATATTTTTACTTTAGCAAAGACATAATTAATTGTCATTATTTTAACAACAATTTTGACCACACTAATATAAACCACCATTTTTCTGACAATCACGCCCAAGTGTTAGCCCTCATTTTGACCACCCCTTTGACAATCGTCGACCAGTGTCAACCACCATCGACCACCTGTTATCACCATTAAAAATATCACTTTAATCACTATTTCAACAATGGTAAAACATAACTCATCACATTAACAACCAATGGTCATTATTAAAATAACTACTTTTACCACCATTGACCAACTTCAACAACCCCTATTCTAACTATCATTGATCACCTCTTTAATTAGAGGTGACAAATGAACGCCCAAGTGCTAGCCATCATTTTGACCATCCCTTTGACAATTGTCGACCAATGTCAATCACCATCGATCACCTGTTATCACCATTAAAAATATCACTTTAATTATTATTTCAACAATGGTAAAACATAACTCATCACACTAACAACCAATGGTCATCATTAAAATAACTACTTTTACCACCATTGACCAACTTCAACAACCCTTATTCTAACTATCATTGATCATCTTTTTAATTAGAGGTGACAAATGAACACGTACGTCTCATTTAGATCCACCTTACAAAAGATTATAAAATAACAAGGCATTATTGAAAACTAAATATGACACTTATATTGAGACATTTTTTTTTGAAACGTGACACTATTTTGGAAAAGTAAGTTTTCAATACTACTCTTACATTGATACATTATTTTCTAAAAACTAAATGATCTTACCTGATCAGAAGGGAATCAGTGACCTGTCACGCGTCGTTGATCTACTAACTATCCACCGAAGGTATGGAAGAGGAAAGGGATGTACCTGAAACACACTCTGATGCCAAAGTAAGTGACGAGCTGAGTGGGAGCAAGTACAGAAAGAGTAAGAAAGTTAAGTTACCTAACCCTCTAGTGAAGAGGGTATTTATAGTGAGATGTCAGGCCCAACGGTTATCTAGCACTGGATTGGGCTGTCAGGTCCAGCGTTAATAACTGTTAGGGCTGACGTGGCGTCGTGAAGACCAGCACGTGGTCTTCGCCCTAGGGTAACTGTTCCGCACTATCCGGGAGGAGGAGGACCGAACCTCCAGGATGTGGGTAGTTACTTTATGACGTGTCCCTACGTGAGGGACACGTGGAGAACGTGAGGGAGGCCCGAGGAGCTCCCCGGGCATATTGGACTCTGCCCGATGAAGGGGAAGAAAGAGATTGGCTGGTCGACTGCGAGGGTCCTGCCCGACAGCTGTTGGCCTATCCCCGACGGGGGATGTTGTGTCTGACGGGTCTTCTGCCCGTCAGTGTGGTCCTATCGGGCCCAACCCCAGTGGAATTTGGGTCTGCTTGATTGTGGGTTAAGCGTCGGCGCAGTTCAGAACACTAAATATGACCCTTTATTTGATTCCAAATTTAATGATATAAAAAATTTTGAATTAAAATATGTTTAACATTAATACTTATTTTAATGATTATATTTGAAACTTATTTAATGTTTGAAAATTTTATAACTAGTTCTAGTTTTTAAAACTTTAAATAGAAACTCATTTTAGATTTTGAAAATTTTAAAATAGATAATAAAAAACATTGGATGAGAATCCTAATCAATGAGAAAATGATTATGCATTGATTAGATGAAGAGATTTGAAGGGAAGAAAAAGGCTTCCTTTAATTTTTAAATCAAAGAAGCTATAAAAAAAATTTAAAAGTGAGTTACATATGTCCATTTATCAAATTACTCTTTTAATTCATTTAAAATCTCTAATATATACAAAAATATAAACTTACTCCTTTAAAACTCAACGCTCAAGCACAAACCTGTCGAACAATTGAATCTCAGCCATAATAATTCCAAAATTTGGCATTTACATCAACAATTTGTTTTCAATATGCAGCCCATTCAAAACCTTTTTCAATTGGCAAGTCTTTTTGTAAAGAAAATCAGACAACATATATGCCGATACAGTTATAATTCAAATTTCATAAGAGTATAGTATTTTCCGTCTGTAAACAAATTGGAATTTAATTTACAGTAACCAACTATCAAATAAGAAGACACCACATTCAAAAGTTATTAATCTACAATAACAAAATCTCAATCTAACCTAACAAGTCAGTACATATATGATCATAGCAATGACCAGTAAGAGAGACTCCAGGAAGGTCCAGGGCAGGAACATGACCCATACAGGTAAAACGTAACTGTAAAATTCTTCATGAATGTGAAGAAGCTAATACAAATGCCATAGCAATGCTCAGTTAAGCCATCATGCCTACGAGTGGATAATAAATGTCAGTTACAATTAGGAACCGCAAGAGAAGAGAGGAGAGCAAATATTTGATACATTGTGTTTGATGAACAAATAAATCAATCATAAGTGGTCTACTACACAAGTCACTCAACCACAGATGGCAACAACATGGAGGTATTATACATAATTCGTATTGCATGGTACTGTTTTATTTCATATTCATTTTTTAGTAATCCACAATAAAACTTGAACTAGCTTTTCAAATGACTCTAACTGTGTTTGATTGCCACAACAACAAAAAATTGGAAACTAAGTGTTTATTTTTTGTATGTGTCTGTTGACATTAAAACAAACACGTGTTAATCCTGTCATCATATTCTAATGATTCTTACTTCAGTTCCTCTTTCTTCGAAGAAAAGCTAGTAAGAAATCATTTTTTTGATAAATTTCCAGATTCGACTACTAAAGCCATTACTTTAAATGCAAAGTTGAAAAGTAACTGAACTAAAAAATATGTGAAAGGTATGGGTGGGACTTGAACACAAAAGACAGAAGTGAATATAGGGAATGTGTCTCCTTAGAGGGTTATTTTCTGCTAGAGTGATAGAGTAAATCCTTATCATGCAATCAGACATAAGTTATCAAGATCAAAAGCATTTATTGGTCATATAACCATTTAAAAAAGTCACAACTTCATTTTTCAAACTTATATAATTAGAACATAAAATAAATGCAAATATGTAATGCAATGCAACATATTAGAATATATTATTATTGTTATTATTAGAATATTATTATTATTACTAAAATATTATAATCTCTATTTTTATAGAATAGCCATGATTGTATAGCAAACACATGAAAATTAACATTGTATAGAAATCAATAGAATAGTAATGATACTAGTATATATACAATGTTGATTTCCAAGTGTTTTGCTATACAATCATGACTATTCTATAAATAGAGATGTCTACTATAATATTTTAATAATAATAATATTCTAATAATAATAATATTCTAATAATAATAATATTCTAATAATAATAATATTCTAATAATAACAAAAATATATTCTAATACAACATATATTAGAATAAACACAAATTGCAAACCTGCTTCTTCTTCTTAGGTCTTCTCTTTCTCCGGGGCTTGTGAGCGTCAGAGTTGGAGCTTATACTACTTCCATGACCAGTCCCTGATCTTGAAGGTTCCCTTACTCTAAAGTCTGAGCTGCTTTTTCTGTTTGATGTGTAGTTTGATGTGTTGCTGGATGTGGAAATCTCAAATCTCGGTTTAGATGAAGTTTGACCTGAAGATGATCCAAACCTTTCCCTTGCTCTGAAGTCTGAGCTGCTTTTGTTGTTTGATGTGTTGTTGAATGTAGAAAACTCAGATCTCTGTTTAGATGAATTTTGGCCTGAAGATGATCCAAATCTTGACATCTTGTTTGAAGGGCGGGGAGGAGGCATCAAAGTTCTAGCAGAAATCTGCCTCTACAGAAATGGGCAAAGATATTTAAAAGCTTCAAAATAATTCTATAAAAGTAAATTGAAAATTAAAACAGGCTACTAGTAATCAACCTGATTTTTTTCATCACTGGACATGCCAGACACAGCTTTTCCAGAAGCACTAGAAGCCTGCTCTCTGCAACCAAGAAAATATTTTATCCGGTGCATTTCATCAAAATAAAACACAATGTATGTTTACATCATCTCAATCATTAATACAATTCCAAAAAACAAAGACTGCAAATGATTTTCCGACCAAACTGTTGGGGATACGCCATACGTTTTAGAGGAAAATATGGCCTCCATTTCATTATCACCTCCAACATAAAAAACACATAGATTCACTAACAACACTTTCAACATCCTAATTTCCCTTTACCAATTTGTATGCCATGTATATATGAGTTCTCATTGATATAATTACCCAAGTACTAAAACATCTATGCTCACCTGGTGCTTTTGTCTGTCAATTCATCATCTGCGTCAGCTTCATCACTAGAACTTCCAGCAAGGAAAAAATCATCATCACTGAGATCTAAAAGCCCGTCATCCTCACTGCCAGTCTCTGCAAAGTAGCATGAAGCCTCGTTAACATTTAATCAAACAGGAAGGAGGCAGAAGAACAAAACACATTTCAAAATCTGAAGCATAGCTAAAGGACCCAGTCACTGTTTTCAGTTAGAGCTTGGCTCACACCATTTAAAACAAAGCACTTCAAAATAAGGGTAAGTGGCAATAGTAATATCATAAATACATCATACAAGTGCGTATGAAAAAGCAGTTTCTATAACAAAAGATAAAATAAAGCTAAACTATTTTCATAAACGCTCTTGGTTATTTTCATAAGCTATTGTAATGAGCTTAGGGATATGTCATAAATTGCTTCCATAAGCTCCCCCAAACAGTCTCATAAGTGCTTAAGCCAGTAGATAAAACTCGAATAAATTAATTTAAATAGGCCCAAGTAAAATCAATATAAAATGGTGGTTTGGTATAGATAATAAAAACAATCATAGTCTCCGAGGCATAACTCAAGTGATTAATCAAGATTCAAATCCTAGCTACCAACATAAAACACCAACAACTAACATTTTCTTATAAGAAAAAATATAAAGCATTGGTAATAACTACCTTCTAAATCCTTGCCACTTGCAGCAGCCGCAGATAACCTTTCTTCAATCTGTTTGCGCAGACCATTTCGCTTGTCAACTATCTCTTGATCATCACTTCCACAAAATAAAGGAACATATTTCTCATTCTTGGGAAAGTACTGCATATTGGAATTGAACGATACACAAATGCATTAGTCACTAATTATCATTTTATTGCCAGCAGAAAGTATAAGACCCGTTTAGATCTAAATTAATTGAGTAATTTAATTATGTACAAGCACATATCATCGAGGTTGTCAATAGCGCGCTATAGCGGAGTAGCATAGCTACACTGCCCTCACCGCTACGCTATTGGCCTGTGAAGTGCTATTGACGATAGCAGTCATAGCGGCCACTAATAGCACTTTCGCAGCAACGCCATGGCAGAGCAATAGCAGTGCCATTTTGGTTTGGTGGCCGCTATTCTCAATTTGGGGCAAAATCATAAGGCCTAATATTTTGAAATGTAATTTTTAATGTTTTAAGGATATGTTGGTCTTTCCCATCCTTTAATTGTTCTAATATTTAACCCCGTGTATTATTATTATTATTATTACGCTTCTTTAGTTTCACTGTTTTTTTTTTCTTGTTCTATATTGTTCACCCCTGCCTTCTCCCCTGCGAGACTTTCCACTTGTTTGCATTCTTCGTTTTTATCTATTTTTTCACCGTTCTCCTCTGCTTCTTCATCGTTTGCCTCTGCTCCGCCGTTCTCTTTTGATTCTTTGTTCTACTTTGCCTCTCCTCCTTGCTTTGTTTCACTCCTACAACCTCTATTATGCTTGTTTTGCCTTGTTTCTCTTTTGATAACCATGGCATCATTATCCTCTGTCATTGCAAGAAAAACACCAACCTCCAACAATAAAGGTTATTTTAAATCTATTGACAATCTTTAATTGGTTGGAACTCTTATAAAGACTAGAACAAGAGAACAATTTTTTGTGATTTTTGGGAGCATCATTCAAATTGAGGAATAACAAGAGCTAAGAAGCATCAGTTGGCAATAAGGGAAGAAGTAAAATCTTGCAGGAAAATACCGGATGATATTAAAAAAATATTGCAAGAGAGTCATGATAAAAAGCAAGAAGCTACTGCAGTGTATATGTCTTGGGGTTAATATGATTGAGGAGGAGGAGGATGTTGCGGTGTATATGTCTTGGGCTTAATATGATTGAGGAGGAGGATGATGTTGTGCAGGAATACTTATATAATTTGATTTTGATGGGATATATATGCTGTTTCAATTCCTATTTTTAAGCATTTACCTATGCGGTTGGAATTTATGTTATGCTATGTAAATTGATTTTTTTTTCACAATAGCGGTAGTCCCACAATCCACCATGCTGGGGTTCTGCACATAGCGAGATTAACAACCTAGCTTATCATACAAGTGTCTGTGTTGTTTTAACATAAACTATAAGTCATTTACATAAGTTACCCTGAAAAACTTAAAGACATTCCACAAGTGCTTATTTCAATAGATAAGTTTAAATTTAAATAAGCCATTTTAAACAAAACTGATATAATGCTTTGTCACTTGGAAAACACTAACCATAACATATTGAAGATCATGTTTAAGAGATGCAAGCTGGTCAGGGGAAGAAGAAGACGAAGCCCGCTGAAGCTTCTCTAGACGTCTAATTCTCCGTTCAATTTTTCTCCTCTCAAAGAACTTAATCTTCTTGTCGCGTAAGAATAGCTTCCGTTCCAAAGCTAGGCGGGTGTGAACCTCCTGCTGTTTCTTCAGTGATTCCAGCTTCTGCTCCTGTGCTGCTTTAACTTCCAATGGTAAATTCTGCCATTCCAAATTTTGATGATCAAATTAGGGTTGGGTTGAATTAGGGTTAGGGATTGAGAGAGGGAAGTTAGTACCTTTCGAAGCATGCGCTCGGCAGATCTAATCTGGTTTTTGAGTGACACCGGAGGTTTGAATTTCTTGGCGGTGGATCGACGGCTCGGGGGGTTAACCCTCACGCGCCGCTTGTTTAAACCACCGTGAACCATGCCGCCGCTATGTATTTTGCTTCCTTAGTTTAGGTTTTCTGATTCTCTTTTGATGTATAAACACGGCGGAACTTGAGGGAGTAACCCTTTTCCGATTAAATTCGAATATATTTTATTTTATTTTTGGCTTTAATGGATGGATGACTGAAAACTAGGTTTTCAACAACCCAAAATATCCAACTTAACAATTTCGCATTGTCTTGAAAAAATTTATTTGTTTCCAATTAAACTTTGACTTTTATATATATATATATATATATATATATATATATATATATATATATATATATATATATATATATATATATATATATATATATATATATATATATATATATATATATATATATGAGGTGGCAATAAAATTCATTTAGATAATATTCATCCAATTCATCTAATATATCTATAAGATAAAAAATAATTTAATGGATTTGATTCAATTCATTTAGTAACTCATATGGATGGATTCAATTCATTCATCTCATTTTATAAATCCATTAGATATTATGTTATCACTTATTAAATTAATTAAATAAACTATTTTTATAAAAAAAATTAAATATTTTAATTAAATAATTTTTCTTTATTTTAAACACAAAAAAACAAAAACATTTAATTTCTTCTTCTTCTTCCCAAACTTTACGTAGAAAGTTTCTTCTTCTCCAAATTACTCTCTAAACTAAGAACCCTAATTTATTCCCCAAATTTCTGTCTAAACCAAAAACCCTAATTTCGTCCCCAAATTTCTTCTTCTCCAAATTTCTTCTTCCCCAATTTCTTATTCCCTCAATTTCGTCTTAATATTAAGCACTAGTAATTCATCTCAACATTTCGGTGCTTCAATCGCCATTCATCTCAACAATTGGGTGCTACAATTGCATTTCATCTCAACGTTTCGGTGCTACAATATTCCAAATTCAAATCAGCAACAACCAGTTTTCGTAATATGGCTTCTTACTCGACATTCGGTAATATTTTTGTGTCCTGTTATATGAATTGTGTTCTGCTATATGAATTAGTGTTCACCCATTTTCTCCAGTTCTAACTATTCCGTTGTAACCAATTTTAAGATAGAAATATGGTTTCAAGTGTTATTGATTGATTATACTTGGTTAAAAAAACTGCAAATACAAATATACTTGGTTTCAAGTGTTTTAAAATTATCAATTGGAGATATTTGTTTGGAAATGGTGATTCTAACTACTCTGTTGTAACTATTTCTAAGGTTTATAGATGTTCTTAGAATTATAATTACTATAGAATTTTGCATGTTAGAGATGATTATTTAAGATAGAAATATGGTTTCAAGTGTTATTTTGGTTATGCTTGGTTAAGAACTTGCAAATAATGATACTTTGTTAGAGATGATTATAATTACTATAGGATTTTACATGTTAGAGATGACTTTGGAACCAACAGCAGCAGAACCAATAAGAACAGTGAGAGTTGGTTTTGGTTTGCAAACAATAAGGGTATTACTACTTGCAAACAATAAGAACAGTGAGAGCTGGTTTTGGTTTTGGTTTTGGTTTTGGTTTTGGTTTGCAAACAATAAGAACAGTGGAATCATCTTCATGGATCAGTTGTTTCTGATTCTGATTCTTGCAAACAATAAGTTGGTTTTGGTTTGGCTTTGCGTTTATTACTACTACTTGGCGTTGTGATGAGAGTTTGGTAGTTCTGGTGGGGGTGGTATTACTAAGTTAGCTATCATAAGTTGAAGAATTGGCTTTCTAAAATTTTATTTCTCTGCTGGTAGGAGCAGATCTACAATTTCCCATGAATGAAACTCGGCCTAGTTGGATTAAGGGTGGAAATATGTCAAGGGCTCAAGGCTTGTTGACTGTTTAGCTAAACAAGGTCAGGCTTCATGCTATCTAAAAAGTCTACAAGGCATAATAGTCCGATCAATTTAATTAAATACAAATAATATAAGAATAGTTTTCAATGCTAATAATATTATATTAATATTTTTCATAATGTGTTAGAATCATATACTTTACTAACCACTCTAGAGATTTATGGCCTGCATAAAAGACTTGAGCATATAAGTTTATTTTATGGTAAACATATAAGTTATACGATATAACTTACTTAAAGGCCTTATTGTAAAATATCCTTTTAAGAGACTTTAAAATCCCTTTTAAGAAGATCAATTAGACGTTAAAAGCGACATCTTTTAAGTTGTGGAAGTTGTGAATTACTTTTGAATTTGAAGGAGATAATGTGCGATGAAGAGACGGCTGCTTCGTGGGAAGCTTTCAAACCTATGCTTCCCAATATGAAGATAGAGATTCCTCATGTTGATGTAAACTTAAATTGGCTTCAATGAATTATCTTCCAATACCTCTTGTCTGTATCACTATATGTGTTTGAAATTCTAATTAATTATTTTGTAAATAGTGTGCTACTTGCTGCATAATATATATAGGAAATTTGATATATATTGTTTGTATTTTTTGACATGTAATGTCATTAATCTATATGAAATAAAGCTAGTTGATGCATAATAAATTATTTTCATGTTAGATGTGGAGCACACATCTTATACTTAATTGTTCACGATGGTTTAAAGGTGATAGATGGACCTTTGGATAAAATTAGGTTGTGTGTGAAATATGTAAGAGGCTCAGAAGCTCGAAAGATAAAGTTTGCATCTTGTTTAGAGTAACTTTCAAATGTGACTTCTGAGCAAGTTCGTCAAGACTTACCTACTAGGTGGAATTCACTTATCTGATGCTTGAGACTTCTATAGGTCAACGAGAAGCCTTTACCCTCCTAAGCGATATTGATCCCTATTTTGATTGTTGCTTATCAAACGAGGAGTGGGATGAGGTAAAAACCATAGCTGATTTTTTGAAGCCATTTTATGATATCATTGTGTTTTTTTCAAGTAGCACTTATCCAACCGCCAACCTCTATTTTAGTGGCGTATGGCGAATTCATATGAAAATCAAGGAAGTTGCATGTGTTGATCATAGTGAGTTTGAGAAACAAAATCAATTATGTTGCATGGCTAGAAAAATGAAGAAAAAATTTAATAAATATTGGAATTCTTATAGTGTTGTGCTATCATTTGTTGTCATCTTAGATCCTAGATATAAGTTGCAGTTTGTTGAGTGGTGTTATGTGAGGTTGTTAGGTGGTGAGGGAGTACAAGTTGCAAAGTTGATTTTTGATAAGTTGAAAGCTTTTTTTCAAGAATATCTCAAGTTCTCAAATGAAGCAAGCATTTCATCTTCACAGAGGTCAATTAGAGGTAGTCCAAACATTCCTCAAATGACTTGCAGGATTTTGGGAGTTACAGAAGTAAATTGCGTGGACCATCAAAAGATGAGTCTGATTTAGAAACTTATTTGAATGAAGAAAAAAAGTGATCATGAGCAATATGCTGATTTGGATGTTTTGCAATATTGGAAAGCAAATGAGGGTAAATATCCTAAACTTTCTATATTGGCACGTGACCTTTTGAGCATTCCAATTACTCCAGTTGCATCAGAATCAGCATTTAGTATAGGTGGACGTATACTTGATAAGTATCGAAGCGCTCTTTTACCCGAAAATGTTGAAGCATTATTGTGTACATATGATTGGCTTTGTGGAACTCCAGGTTAATATCTACAATATTTTCATTTGTATTCTTTTCATTTATCTTCTTTTTTAATTAATGTATGTTTAATTGTTTTCTACTTTGATTCTCTTTTGTAGCTGCATTTGATTTTGATGGACCCGATTTTTTTTAGGACCTTTCGACCTTCTTTTCCATAACATGAGGTTACTTGTTTGAGAGTTTTTTCTTTTCATATGCTAGTAAAACATTTCTTGCTAATATCTGTTTTTTACCCATATGCCATTACTTTCTAATATCAAAAATTCAGTATCAGAATCAATACATTTGTTTCTGATAACAAACTCTGAGCTGCTAGAATGCCTTGTATCTACTGCATTTCTTGATTCATATGCTAGTATGAGATAAATGAATCCAAAATGAGTCCATTTATTGAAGAACAAAACAAAACAATATTGAAAAAAAATACTATGATAGCAAATTTTAGGAAGTGAATAATAGTAGTATTGCTTTTAGTGAACATTCATTATAGGTTCTAACAAAACCAAACACATATTGTTTAGTATTAGTTCCATGATTCTATGATTAGCTAAATTTTGGTAAAACATGATTATGCACTGATGTTAAGCAGGATGTTATGACATCCATCTGCTGTGGTGACGGAACTGCTGTCATGTGTTTTAATCAGGATATCATTACCAATGTCATGACATCGTTGTCTGATACAGCAGGAGCTGATGACAGTACTGTTGTCATGTGTTTTAATCAAGATGTCATCATCAATGTCATGACATCGCTGTCTGGTACAGCAGGAGCTGCTATCACTTGACAGAAGTGTTTTTGGTTTGATGTGAACCTATTGGATATACCTCATCAGTATGTGCAGGCCAAAGAGATTTGGTAGGAACAAAGTGCAGATTTAATTGGAGTTCATAAAAAGGATCTCTGAGACTTTTTTAGGATACTATAATATATTTGTTTCTACTGTTATGAAGAAGATTCTGCAGGAGTGTACTGCAGGGTTTGTTTGGTCAGCTAAGAACAAAGTGTGTTGGATGTCATGCTGGATGTTATGACATCAAGCGTATGACATCAGGGCGTGTGTTTAGGTTTATTGTTATATTGCAAGAGGAAGCTCAGGCTATGTTTCAGGAAACCTGTTATAGCTCCTTAGTTATCTCAGGCGAGATTCTAGTCAGGGTTGGGCATAACATGAAGCAGTTGTGGCCTAATTTGCAGCATCTGAATTATGGAAATTAGGCTAACTTGGTTAAACCTAATGTATGTTACTTTTGATCAACCCAAGCCCAGTCTGCATTGCTATTTAAGGAGGCGCATAAGCAAGGGAAAAAAGCACTCACAACAAGAAAAACTTGAGTGTAAAATTAAGGTTTAGGGCTTTGAGAGTCGTTTGTGTGTGACCTTGTAAGTC